GACCCGGGCAGGCAAGAGCAGCTCTGGACCTGGCATGGAGGGAGGGGGCTCTGCGGGCAGCCACCCCCTGGGAGCAGCGTTCCTCTAGGTAGAAGTGTATGTGCTGAGGAGGGTGGTTTGGGGAGGCCTCGTCACTTCAGATTAGGCTGTAGCAGGCGTATCCTGTTTTCTAGGAAAAAGAGGATTTTGTGGCCAGCTTTGTTAGGGAGGCATTGAAGATTTTTCTTTGTGTGCCTTGGCGTTTGAAGTTTGCAGGCGGTAGCTGCAGACTTTCTAGATGTTCTGGTTACACGGATGACACTTATTTTTAACCTTATTTTTATTAGAGGTTTGTATCATGTGGGCCTGGCCAGCCCACAGGAAGGGCTAGAAACTTCTTGTAGGAGGGATAACATTTCCTATCTCTGTGTAAACAGCAATTCCCCCCAGATGGGAAAAACTAGCCCAGCTGTAAGGCATGCTGGGGCTGTATTCCCACATGTGGCAGCAGGATGAGGCTGTCCCACAACGGGAACAGACCTCACTTCCAGCAGCCAGAGCCCTGCTGAGTGGCACAGCTCTCCCCAGACTCAGGAGAGGTGCCAGGAGAGGTGCCAGGAGAGGTGCCAGGAACAGGAGATCTGCTCTGGGGAGCCGTGGTGAGGAGTGACTGCTGCTGAGAGCTGTGATGGAGCAGCACTGGTGGAGCTGCTGGAAGGGCAGGCAGCCAGCGCGGGGCTGGGGTGAGGGCTCAGACAATGAAGATACTCATGGAAGAGGAGGAGACATCCTGTGAGACGTGCTCCGATGGGGTCTTGCAGTGAAGAAAGCTGTGTATTGAGAATGACATTACTGTGGGCTGGGAAAGAGCCTCTGAGCTGTGTGTACATCCTGGGAACCACAAGGCATGAAGGCAGCAGGACCATCGCTGCTGACTTCGGTGGAAAGAGAAGTTCCTTCTGCTCTCAGCCCCAGCTTGCAACTGTCCAAGCTGATTTAATGGTGCTGGTGCTCCTCCCTGCCTGCAAGAAGACTAAACAAGTGCTCAGCCGTTACTGGGACGTGGGAATCTGGGACCCACAAGATCTGGAGGTGACAAGGTTACACTGCTGACAGCTGTAGGTAATGACACACATTTATTTATTTGTGGAGGATCTCCAGGAACGCTGCTATGATACATGGACTAGGTCCCAGATCAAACCCTTGGGTGCAAAGCAAAAGATGGGAAATGGTAGCAGCCAGAGCAGAGCTCTGGGCAGGGGGTGGCATTAGTTTGCCTGGCCAGGGTGACAAAGAAGAATTTTAGGGAGAAATTTGAAGTGGGAGAACTGGGTGGACAGGAAGGAGCTGGGCCTGGTGCCATACCCCAGGGGTACTTCAGAGAAGGTGCTGGCTGAGCAGCCTTCAGTGAAGAGAAGGATTCAGGGTTGGGAGTGAGGAGTTATGTGTGGAAGAGCTGGCATGGTTACTAGGAAGCATGTGAAAAATGAGGAGTCACTTCCAATGGGAATGGATGCTGCCAGTCCTGACTGTGTGCTGGTGACAGGGAATGGCTCCTTCAGCTGGTCAGTCCCTGGCTCTATGAATTTGGAATACCAGCCAGCCAAAGGAGCACAGCCAGATGGGGGAATGGTTCTTGCTAGAATGACATTTTGCAGAGAGGACGTGCTGCTCTGGGCATGTGCCCAGGGGTGGTGAGGGACCCCCCAGTTCTCCCTCCATGCTCACATAAGCCCTGGCCATGCTGTCTGCTCCTTGCAGCTGCTCCAGCTCTGGAGTGGAGGGGCTTTGCCCACACAGCTGTGTCCCATCACTGGTCTGTGCTGGAAAGCCACAGGGCGGGTGGGAAGCAGTGAGGGAGCTGCTTTGGTACCCTCCTGACAGAAGCTGCTGATGCCAGCCCTGGCTCAACAGAAGAGCCTGGTGCAGGTACCTGGAATGTGTGGCAGGAGCCTGGGTATAAAATCCTCTGTAAAGGTACCTTGTTTCCCATGAAATGACAGACACATTCTCCTGATTGTTATAAATAAACTCTCAGCATCTCTCTGTGGTGTGTGTAGCAGAGACAGGAAAAGGCTCATCGTCTGCCAGAGCTGCTTTGTCTGGTACCAGACCTTTCCCACAAGCAGTTTGCAGAGCCTTGCTCTCCTGAATTAAATGATAACTGAGGGGCAGAGAGGGAAAGAGGGCGTTTCGGCTGGCAGGAGATTGATGGCAGGTCAGTGAGGCCAACAGCAGCAGGAAGGTTTCCGTAGAAAGGGAGAGGAACCAGTGGATGCTGGAAGGGCTGATTCCACCCTCACAGTGCCCTGGAAACTCTCATGAGCACAGCTCTCAAAAGCATTTCCCTTTCCTAAATCTGGAAAAACAAATGGGAGTATAATATATTTATTTGTTTTAATCTACTTGCCCGAGCTGCGAATTGCTTTAGGTTTATGTGGTGCATGTTTGTTTGAATGGTGATGTTTTGTATCCTCAGGGGCTTATTCAGAGTGGGTTTCTCAGCTCCTCCTGTTCACTTGCAGAGCATTTTTTACATTTGCTGCCAATTTTTTCATGCTTGTGTTCTGCAGGGATGGAGGTGTGGTTTGGGGGAACCTGCTGTACAGGCCTGGGGCTGGTCCTGCAGATTTCAGACACTTTGGCTAACTAAAATTTCCTCCTGACCTTGAAAGCTCATTTCTATCACACCAGGATAATCATATTCCTTTTCTTACTGTTCCACACTTTTCTGCTGAATCTAGAAGTAATAACAGGCGAGCAGGGAAGATTATACCCCACGTGGACTCCGGATGCTTTGTCTGGGGCAGGAGAGGCGCGGGCTGTGTCCCTGGCCCCGGCACAGCCCTGCAAGTGTCTTGCCTCTGGACGGGAAAGGGAAAGAACAAACAAAAACTGAATGTAAAACTTGTAGGGCTTTGTCTGCTCACGGTGCGCTGCGCAGGGTTGTGCTGCATGGGGCTGTGTGGGGCACGGTGCTGCTGGAAACCGGTGGGCAGAGTGGTGGCTCGGTGGGTGAGGGCTCTGCCCAGCCCTGGGGTGCCAAGGGAGTCTCCTCTGCCTCGGGGATTGAGCTGCGTGGGGCTCCGAGCCCCGGAGAAACGATGAACCCTGGGGGATGCTGGGCGGTGGAGGTGATACCAGGACGCCGGCGGGTACCAGGGGGTGGGGAGCCCCGGTAGGGTGTGAGACACCAGAGGAATGTGGAGCCCCCGGAGAGGGATGCTGAGCCCCGCGGGGTGATGCAGAGCACCGGGGAGGGTATGCGGGCAGCCGTGGCAAGGGGGATGTGGGGCGCCAGGCGGTGGTCCCAGGCGATGTGGGGCAGTGGATGGGACACACTGGGACACCAGGGGGTGTGGAGTAGCGGTGGGGGAGGATGTGGCGCCCCGGGGGATGCGGGCCCTGGGAGAATGCGGGACCCCGGGGGCTGCGCGATGGGCTTGGGGGGCCTGGCGGGTGCGGTGGCGGTGCGGGCCCCGCGCTCCCCTCCCCCGCCATGGGGCGGCGAGGGAGGAGGAGGAGGAGGAGGAGGAGGAGGAGGAGGGGCTGCCCAGCACGGGCAGGGTTAAAGCGCCATGTAACCGGAGCGCGGGGCTGTCGGGGGCCGGCCGGGGCGCGGGCAGCGGCGAGCGGCGGCGCGGCCCCGCTGGACGGCGCGTCCCGCCGCGGCGCAGGTGAGCGCCGGACCAGGGGGACCGGACGGTCCGAGCCGGAGCCGTGGCACATCCTCGTGGGCGGCTTTGTTGTCCGCGGCGGTGGCGGGGGACAATGAGGCGGGAGGGGAAGGCGGCACCGGGCACACCGGAGCGCCGCGGCGGGAGCGCCCCGGCCGGTCTGGCGGTCCCAGTGCCCGGTAACCGAGGACTCGCGGCTTCGCCCCGGGGTCTCGGCCAGGGGACAGAGGGTGGTGGGCCCGACCTCCACTTGTTGCCGGCACTCGGCTCTGGGGCGTGTTGTAGGGATCGTTGCTCCCACAGCTTCGGGCATGGTCCCCTAAGTCCCCCTGGTCCCGCCCACCCCTCCGGTCCCGTTGCAACTTTGGGAGTTTCCCGCGGAAGCGCCGCGAGCCCCGGGGGCGCGTCCCGGGACTGTCACGGCGGGGCCGGTGCGGGACCCCCCGCGACCCCGGGGCCGGGCCGGGGCCGGGCCGGGCGCTGCGGCGGGAGGGTCCCCTCGCTGGTACGGCCAGTGATGGCTGCGGGGTCGGGGGGGCCGGGGTCCCCATGCCCGGCTCGGCCGTCCCGGGCAGCGCCGCCTCCAGGCCGGGGGCACCGTGGGGAGCTGCCGGGGGTACCGGGACACGGCGGCGCTGCTGCCCCGGGCAGAACACCTTTGTTTTCGGTTCTCGGTCGGGGATCTGACAGCGCATCTTCCCTCTCTGTTGGCAGGAAAAGAGATTCCAGGCGGCGCCTCGGGCGCGAAGCCTCCCCGGGGCCGATCCGGAGGGACGGGGTGGCCGGAGCAGGTATCGACCGGAGGGCTGTGCTGGCATCCGCCTCCTGCCGAGCCCGCGGGAGCCTCCGGGGAGGGGAGATCGGCGGACAAGGAGGAATGAACTCTTCGGAGTGGCCCCAGCGTGGGGCACAAGTCCCGGGAAGCCGGGAGAGGGGAGCGGCAGGGGGACTCCTGGGCGAGTGGTGGTCCTGGGGCAAGAGGTAGCCCTGCACCGACCTCCCTCGGAACGGGAGGGCAAGGAGGGGGTGGCTGGAGTGTGCTGCCCTGAGCAGAACTAGTACTCTCCTTTCCTGCCTCAGTTTCCAGTTTCCAAGTTTTTAATCAGCTGAGGAGGGAGGGTTGAGGCCGGGTATCCCAGTCCCGCCTCTGGGGCTGCACGGACCTGGACGGGCGGCCATGGGGACAGCGAGGTGTCATTGTCATCTTTACGTCCTCTTGTTCAGGGGGAGAATGAAGCGGTGACGACTCCGGACAGAAGACTGACCACCTCTGAGCGGGCCTCACCTGTGCACCACAGCCCCCACAGCCCCCGGCTACTGCCCGCCGGCAGCCCCTGCCCCACGCCGAGGGCTCGGCCCGGCGCGATCCCACCGGGATGAACATGGTAAAGAGCCCGGAGCCGCTGGAGCAGCGCTTGGCGGGGATGGTGGCTGTCCGGGACAAGTCTCCAGCCTGGTCTGCGCTGGGAGAGGAGGGGCCGGTTTGTGTTTTGTTTCTTTTCTTTAACCCAGCTTTGCTGAGAGGCAGCGGGGAGAGCCGGGGTGGGCGCCGAGGGCTGCGGGGGGAGCGGAGCGGGGCAGGAGGAAACCGGGGGAAATGGAGGGAAGTGCCGGAGCGGGAGAGCAGAGAGGCCAGGCACAGGAAGCGGGCAGGGGGAGCCTGCCCTTCGCCCCCTGCCCTTCCCAACGAGCACATCTGCGAAATCGGCGCCTTTCTTACGGAACTGCCAACCCAGCAACTCCTTTCTTCCCAGGATTAGAGGGAAATGTTCGGTTTGGGGAGACTTAAAGGCCATTAGTGTGCACCACAGCCCAGAGCCAGCCCGGCCATTAGGGTCCTTTATTTCTTTTTGTTATTCAAACAGGGCTTGGGCGATGGCTCCATCCCAGCCATGGGTAAAGCTTCCCTCCAGCCTTTTGATATGCATGCCCCTGTCTGGAGGCAAAGTCCGAAACCTCCCCACCTCCTGGGGACATGCACCTGATAACAGGGCGGCCTCTTTTCCCAGCAAGGAAAACTGAAACCAGCCAGGGCCAGGCTGGAGGAGCAGCCCCGGGAGCAGGGGCAGGGGTCCAGTCCAGAGCATGGCCCGGCCAGGTGAGCCCTGCCCACCCTGCCCTCTCTGCCAGGTGAGCACAGCCATCCTGCCCACTCTGCCCGCTCTGCCCGCTCCAGGCTGGCCAGCAGCTGTGCCCAAGCAGGGACCAGAATTCTCTCTAAGCAGTTAATACTGTGGCATGGTCTTTAACCAGTTTGGCAAATCTTAAAGAAACTGGTGTTGCAAAATGAGGGCGGGCTGTGGAGTCAGCGGGTTCATTGTCTTCTCGGGTGGGATTTGGCTGCAGGGCACGTCCTGGTCAACAGGCAGTGCCGGGGCTGCCGCTGGTGCCGGGCTCTTGGGGAGCTTTCGGCACTGGAGCTGGAATTGTGCATTATTTGCCTCCTCATGGGTTCCTGTCTGGAGTTCATGACTGTGGAGCACCCGGTGTGTTTGCAGGGCGCTGGGCAATGCAAACACTGCAGGGTTGGTCTCCTGTGAGCCAGCCCATGTGAGGGCAGTGCTCTGTTTCTTATTATTAATGCCCTGAGTGCACATGTTGGAGTGTTTTTGTGAGGGGAGGCGAGGACAAAGAACCAACCCTTCCTCCCGAGCAGGAGGGGCTGAGCTCACAAGGATGTGGCTCCTGCAGGGACCCTGGGTGGTCAGCGGGCAGCAGGATGGGCTCCTGTGGCTTCAGCACTTGGTGCAAAGAACAGGAGAAGGGGTGGGAATTGCAGCCCTGCTGCATAGGTTTAGGACTTTGGGAGAGGCACTTTTAATGAGCAGCTTGTGCCATGGTCTGCTGGGATGTCCTCAAGTGATCCTGGGCAGTGCAGCTGGAGAAGGGCACGCACCAAGCAGGGAGCTGACGTGCCCGTGCTCACGGCAGGGCCTGTGGCTGTGCACTGCACCTACAGAGCTGTGACCTGTGAGTCCCTGCTCTGCCAGCCAGCTGTTCCTTCCAAAGGGATAACCCTTTTTTCCCACTTTATAACTGGAATAAAGGCCATGTGGGAGCTCCCTAAGCACGTGGCAAAGCTGAGCTTGGGGCATCAGGTGCTCAGTCCTGGCTGTGTCCCTGCTGAGACCTGGCAACTGTGTCACTTAGCCCTTCACCTCCCCAGTGCTGGGCGACAGGACACCCTTGCCTGGTGTGCGGGACATGAGGCAGTTGTGGGGCTGAGGAAGGAAAAGCCATTCTGAAGTGCAAGTTTGAACTTCCTGGACTCAGGCTTCTGACAAAGGAATGAATGCAGAGGTCGTCTTGAGAGTCCCAGTGGAGTTCTGTGGGTGCAGATGTTTGGGAGGGCTGGGAGATATCCTTGCCTGCTTCTGTCCTCCCTGAATCTTACCTGCCTCATGCAGCTCCATCTCCTTGTACCCTTTGGTTCAGATCACCCTCATGCTGGGAGAGCAGCCTCCCTGTGGGGATTCCCAAGGGAGATTCACTTTTTGGTGAGTTTTGCTGGTTTTGGTGGCAGCATTGCTGCCAGACATTGCTGCTGCTGCTGCTCAGCAGCATCGTGGGCTGGGGAGGGGGAGCAGACCAGGAGGAGATGGCCCTGACCTGGCTGTGCTGTGCTGTGGTGGGTTGCTGCATCCTGGAGCATCTGGGGCCGTGTGGGACCATCCCTCTGGGCCAGGGGCAGGCAGCGAGTCTGGGCAGCTCCCAGGAATTGTTTGCTGGGTCTGGGAGCAGATGTGCTGCAGCAGAGGGATTTCTGCACACACAGCTGTGGGGGGTTATGCAGCTCCTGGTGCCATTCCTCTCCTCCCTTTGTCCAAGGGGGAGGCAGTATGTGCACTGAGGTGTCTACCTGTGGAGGTGGGTGCTGGACACCTGTTTTCCTTTGTGTTTGAGTGTTACAGGTTTTTAACTCTGCCCTCTGCGTCCAAACCATCCAACTCCAACTGGTCTTTGTTTGTCAGAGGTGCTGACAGATGATTTCAAAGCAGAAATCTCAATTGTTAGGGCAGTGGTTGGAGGCGATGCAGAACGGGAATGACACAGAAGGGGCGGTGGGCTGGAGCTGGGGTCTCTCTGGGGCTGAGAGGGGTGTTACTTTGGCTTGCTAACAGGGCTGTAGGTGGGCAAAGCCCTGCGAGCTTCTTAGCTCTTGAGTTATGTGCTGCTGAAATGAGTGTGCTGCTGAAATGAGTGTGCTGCTGAAGAGACAAGTTGCAGCACAGACCCATAGCCCGGCAATGAGGCAGCATAGTTCATGGCATCCGGGTGCCTCTGGGAGAGCTGGGAGCTCCCACTCCAGAAAACAGGAGCCAGGGAGGGCACCCAAGGGAAGGCAGCAAGCAAGGCAAGCCCCAGCTCTGCAGGGACACCAGGGCAGGGGCTGCCAGGATGCACAGCCCCTTCACCTGGGGCAGGGCAGCTGAGGCCAAGAGCGGGGGGCAGGAGGAGTTTTCTCTCTCAGCGAGAGTTTGATGCAGGCTCCAGGACTTTGTCCCCCGTGGCGGGCTGCCTGCCTGTCCTACTGCTGTGGGAACAGCCCACCCACCTCTGGGCGTGCTGGGCAGCTGGAATACAGAGAGACCAGGGAGGCTGGTGGCCCAGGGGTGGGCTCTCCCCAGGGGTGGGCTCTCCCCAAGGGTGGGCTAGCCCCAGGGGTGGGCTGGCCCCTGGTTTTTACAGGGTGGGCGGGCAGTGCAACTCCCCTCCAGACAGGATCTGTCACAGTGAGCTGGGGCAGCTCCGAGCCAGCCTACAGATGTTGGGCAAAAACCTGGTGTTCCCTAAGGATAAGTGGGTTGCATCTGGGACCTCAATTAGATGGAGCTGGTTGGCCTCTAGGGTCACCACATTTCTGTGGAGGTTATGTGCAAGTGCTGTTTATTTCCCAGGACCTTTACTTGCATCTCCAGTCAAATCCCTCTGCTAAGGGCACAACAAAAGCTGGCTCAAGGACCTCACTCTGTCTGCTTTGCCCTCCCCTGGGCTTCCTTGCACAGCTGAATTTCCTTTCCATTCCGGCTTCTACAGGCGACCATGAAAAAGGACAAGAGCCACGGGCAGGATGAGGCAGACTGCAGGGCAAAGCTGATCCTCATCAACGGGGACAATGCACCTGGTGTTGTACTGGAGGCGAAAGGGAAGCGCAGCACTCCAGGTGAGGGTCACCACACTGAGCCCAGAGTGCTCCAAGGATGCACAGGGTTGGGGATGTCACAGCCTCTGTCCCAGGCTTTGCTGGGGGATGAAGTGCTGTGGCTGTGGCCAGAGTCCCCATCATGACCCCAGTGGATTTCTGTGATTGAGGAGCACATCCAGGTCATGGTATGGTGGTGGGTGCAACACTGGGATGCTGGCTCTGCCCCTGATAGTTTAACCCCCACGGAGTGAGGGAAACGGGGGGGGCCCTCCAACCTGAGGGGTGCCATTGACCTGAGGGTCTGCATCGCTGCTCCTGGGATTCTCCAGTCAGGGTTCCCAAAATCCACCTCTTGGGTTCACAAGGTCCTGCTTTAAATGACCTGGTGACAAGCCTGGAAGAGCTGGCATGCGGCCTCCTTGTGCCTCTGAGCTTTCAGATTCAAGGGAGTAGATAAGAATAACCCCATGCTTGCTGCTGGTCCCTCCCAGTTTTAGGACAGGTGTGTGATCTGGGGCTGTGGTGCCACAGTGGGGAGCCCTGGGGACACCACTTGTCTCTGCCTCCAGCCACATATCTCCGAGATGAGGTTTTGGTGTCTCCAAATTGTGACTGTGGGAGCAGTGGGAGGCTGGGGCATGCAAGGACATGGCCAGTTGGGCTTGCAGAGCCTGAGGCTGCTCTGTCTTTGCAGATTCCAGGGGCCTGGGGCTGAAGAAGGAGAAGAACAGCAATGGAGACCTCTCCAAGGAGGACCTGGCCTGGCCACTCAATCTGCCAGTGCAGAGGGTAAGTGAACACCTAGGGTGTTTTTTTGGGGAGTGTGTGGACAGCATCTGATGCCAGGATCCTCATCTCATTCCCTCTGGGCTTTTCTTGTGCTCAGCGCCAGAGGAACAATCCGGTGATGAATGCAATACTCACAGCGTAATGTTTTAATTTTTAAATTCCTGCTTCTCATGATACAGCAGTAGGAGGGGGTGGTGTGGGATGCAGTGATGCCCATTACATGTTGCAGCAGCCTAATAAAATGATTTTGCTGATATTTTCTTTAAAGTCTTGACTGTATTGATAGACTGAAACATCTCATGCCTCCCACTGTTGGGGTGAGCTGCTTTTAGCTGCCATGGGGCTGGACCCCAGTTTCATCCACCCTCTTTTGTTGACTAGGTTGACAAACCTCCAGGGTCTGGAAGCATTTTTGCCTTCTGGCTTTATTGTTTTGAGTTAGAATTAAAACCCAAGGTTGGAGATCTGCCTGAGATGAGGCAGTTTCCAAAAGAAAGAGCCATAAATCCAGTGGGTGAACATTGAGCTTTCCCACTATGTTTAGTTTGGGGGCTCTTACTGCAAAATCTCATTTAATTTTGAACCTCTGTAATGCTGAGTGCAGGCAGCAAGTCTGGGCTGTACTGTACCTCTGACCACCAGGGAAGGGCTGCCCTGGGTGCTGCTGCAGGGCTGGCTGTGAGAAAGAGCACCCATGGGAGTGTGAGAGCATCCAGGGTGTGTAAGTGGGTCCATGCTCTGCTGTGGTCTGTGGCTCTCCTGGCACCCCAGTCCTCCCAGCTGTGGCTCCTGCTCTCTCTATCATTCTGGGTGCAGTGGGCTGCAGCAGTGGGGCTCCTGAGCCTTGCAGAGATACTGTGGAGCAGAAAGTTGCCCAAAAGGGCTCAGCACAAGGTGCTTCCAGCATCCATCTGTCTCCTCTCACCTTCCCCGGGGCACTGCCTGTGGTGCTCAGCCCCATGAGGCACAGAGGTGTCCGTGTCCCCATGTGAGGAGGGCACACCCATGCTGTGGCCCCTCCCTGTTCTGGTAGTAGGTGCAACTTTGGGGCAGTGCTGGGTGGGAGAGCAGCCTCAGGCAGAAGCCCACCCTGTACCTCATGTTCCAGGCAGGGCGGACCCGGCAGGAGATGCGGATCAAGGAAGCAGCACGCAGCGTGGAGACTCTCAGGGACCTGCCAACTCCTGTGCGGGTGAGGCTCTGGCAGGGCCAGGGCTTCCCGTGGGCTCCAGGGGCTTGTACTGCTGCTGTGCCCTGGTCAAGTGTCTTCAGAGATGGTGCAGCCTCCCTGTGCCTCAGTTTCCCCTGTGAAGAGGATGTGTTTGTACTGTATTTTGCCCCTGCTGTGAGCTGGGTGCATTGAGCACCCTGGGGGGGATTTGGGATAGGAAAAAGGGAGGGGGCAGTGGTGCACCATTTGCTCTGGGTCTGGCAGGTAAAAGCAGAGCAGTTCTCCTGCAGATGCCCCCATTAAGGGCTCTACTCTCTATTCATGGCTGCAGTGGTGCCCTCACTCCCTGGCTTCCCCTCTCCCATCCCAGCTGCAGGGCTGGGGGATGACATGGGGTTGTGTGTGATGTGGGGAATGGGGATGATGTGGGGCAGGTCTCTGCTCCCCCTGTCCCTCTCCCTGCTGCATTCACACTCCTCTACCTCCGCCATGCAGAGCTCCAGGCGCCGCTCTGCCGTGCCCACACCCGTGACCATCGACCTGACAGAGGAGGACTCCCAGGACTCGTCCCGGAGCAGCAGCACACTCTCTGGAAGCAGCTCCCAAGAGGGGCAGAACGGCTCTGCTGACCTGGGGGCCGAGGAGGCAGAGAGCAGAGACATGGGCATGGCGCTGGAATACCAGGTACGGAGGGGCTGAACTCTGCTCCTGCACCCAGGATGGTGTGGGGCAAGGATGAACCTCTCTGACTTGTCCCAAAACAAACTTGAAAACCTCAGTGCTGTTTCTCCTGCCCACCCTTCCCTGCCTGCCTGATGTCGCCAGGCTGTCTCCATCTATCAGGCTTGGATGCTTTGGGGACCAGCCCCGCCAAACTGCCACTGGTGCCACACGTGAGACACACATGAGTGTGCCGTGTGCCATGCCCTGCTCAGACAGGCAGTTGCATGTGCAGAAAACATTTCTGTTGGGGATGCTGGAGAGAACCGAAGCTGCTGGGGCTGCAGAGCAGGATTCGGCGCCTGCGGGCCGCAGGGCAGGGCCCCAGACTTGCAGGAATTGGGCAATTGCATCTTGCTGCATAATTAAGTATGTAATTGCAGAACAAAGCTGGGAAGGAGGGCTCTGCAGGCAGAGAGGTGACTTTTCTCTGTGTGAGGTTCCTTGCTGTGCACAACAACTCAGCGTGGCCTGCGATGGGTCACACCAAAATTCCTGGCTTTTCTTTTTCTTCTCTGTTTTTGTGCTCTCTGCAGCAGGAACAAGAGGAGGGTGGGTGGGTGTCCTCTCCCTGGGGTGCAGCCATACAACACAGGCTGAGCTGTGAGCCCTGTGAAGGAGCTGCTCTGTGCCAAGGAGGAGCCTCATCTGCTGAGAGCACCCAGGGAACAGCCTTGGTGCAAGGCTTCCCCGTGTTTGCAGAGACCCTGGGAGGGCAGGCAGGAGTGGACACGCACGGGGCTCGTGCCAGGTGGGCTGTGCAGGATGGAGCATGCACCACGCCGTGTGCCAGGCATGGGCTCTGTATGGGGCTGGCACACACAGGCCTCCCCACCAAGCTCAGCATGGATCAGGGCTGGGATACAGTGCTGCCAGGGGGGAATGGCTTGGCCCTGTGCTTGAGGGAGTGGTTGCAGTTTTTGGAGATCACTGCACAGAGGCTCTACACTCATGACACACATGGCAACACACCAGGGCTATCCCCTCTGCTCCAGGGCTCTCCTGCACAGCTGCCCAGACAAAATGGAGAGTTTGGAGTTTTGGCTGATGTGTTGTGTTGTGCTTTCAGGATGGGAAGGAATTTGGAATCGGGGAGCTTGTCTGGGGAAAGATCAAAGGTTTTTCCTGGTGGCCTGCGATCGTCGTCTCCCACAGAGCCACGGCCAAGCGCCAGGCAGTCTCGGGCATGCGGTGGGTGCAGTGGTTTGGAGACGGGAAGTTCTCCGAGGTAAGCCTGCTGCCCAGCCCGGGACACCCTTCCCAGCACGTTTCTGCCCCTCCTGAGGCTGGCTGTGGGGGTGTATGTGCTCCTGCAGCCTCCCAGGCCTCCCATTGTTTAGTTAACCAGGCCCTGGCAGGTTCTCATGGCTCTGGTGTCTGTAACTAATCTCTGTAGGCTGGTGACAGCATCCAGACATGGGGACATCTGCCTGACCACTTCACGGGGTTTTGTCCATGCGCCAGAGCTTCTCTTGTCACTCCCTGCCTGGGGAGGGATGTCCCCTCAGAGCCCTGTCACCCTCACAGAATCAGTATCCTGAGCTGGAAGGGACCCACAAGGATCTTCAAGTTGCACTGCTTCCCTGCACAGGACACCCCTAAAGTCCCACTATATGTGTCATCCAAACACTCCTGGAGCTCTGTCAGGCTCCTGCCATGACCACTTCCCTGGGCAGTGTGTTCTAGTACCCAGCCATGAACCTTTTCCTGATATCCAGCGAGGATATCCCACCCCTGCCATGCTGCAGGCAGGAGGGGGGAAGTGCCGTGCTGGTGTCACGCCAGCAGTGCCGGCAGAGGGTGCAGCCCACCCGTCCTTGTCACTGCTGCTCCTGGCAAAGCTGCCACCACGCTTCCTCCTGTGGGGACTGCACAGTGCTGGGGGGACATGGCCCAGCAGGGCATTCCCATCTCACAGGTGACATCTTAGTGCTCTCTCCCAGGTTTCTGCAGACAAACTGGTGGGACTGATGGCCTTCAGGCAGCATTTCAATTCCTCCACGTTCAACAAGCTGGTGTCCTACCGCCGTGCCATTTACCACGCTCTGGAGGTAACCACCAGGGGTGGGCGGATGGGTGAGGAGGTGCCAGCTGAACCAGCTGGGCTGTGGGTGGCTGGTGGGATGGGATGCAGTAATACCCTCCTTTCACTGCTGAGATTATTTCCAAGTGCAGCTGTGGGGCCAGACTCTGCTTATCCTGAGGGTTTAGGGGTAGCTGATGCGCCAGGGTCTCACTGCTCCAGAACCCCAGGCCAGGCTCCCTGTGAGGGCTTGGGTGTGGCAGCATCATGGCAGCAGGGCAGTGCCAGGATGGCCAGAGGTGTCCTGGGTCAGTGCCAGATGCCCTTGGAAGTCAGGGCTAGTGCTGAGCACCTGTGAATCCAGTCCCCATCCAAGGGATGCACCACATGTCAGCCTATGGGGCTGCAGACCCACAGGCACCTCTTCTGCCTTTTCTTCCTGCCACTTGCCATGGAGCAGAATATGGGCAAGAGCTTTGGCTGGCCTGTCCCTGCTTCTGGCTCCAAGAGGGGGCTGGTGGAGGACAGATGGGCTCCTTGCAGGGATGGAGGCACCCTTGGCTATGGCCAAGGGCACACCCAGAACAGGAATTCATCAGCTGCCACCATCCTGGGGCCACTGAGCTCCCTATGTGTGTGTGTGTGTGTGTGTGTGTGCTGGGTGGGCAGGGGGCCTGGGGCTGTGACCCTGGCAGGCTGTGGCTGCGCCGTGACAGAGACCACCCTGTCACCCTGTCACCCTGTCTGTCCCCTGCTGCCCATCCTCATCAGGTGGCCCGGAGCCGGTCGGGGAAGACGTTTACAACTGGCCCCAGGGAATCACTGGAGGAGCAGCTGAAGCCCATGATCGACTGGGCAATCACTGGCTTCAAACCCCTGGGGCTCAAGGGACTGCGGCCACCCAAAGGCTCAGGTGAGATGGTGGCATCAGCTGGCTGAGGGCTGGTGGAGGGCTGGCATGGGCTGGGGCCACTTGGGGCTGGCCCCAGCTGAGCCTGCTCACCCTGTGCAGTCTAGTCCCAAGGTGATCCTGGGGCTTCTCACTGGGCCCTCAGTAGCATTGCAAAAAGTTGGAGCAGCCTCCAAGCCCCATGGAAATTGGACATGGCAGAGCCTTGTGCCATTTGTGAGGACCCAGGTGGCCAGGAAGGGTCCTGCTGTGGCTGGGGTGAGACCTGGCAGGCCTTGGCAGGAGGTGCCCTGGGCCAGTCCTGAGGTTGGAGGCTTGTCCTTAAGGAGGTTCCTTTTCCTTGCAGAGAATGGGGTGCTGAGGAATGGGACAGAGGAGGTGGTGTCCCTTGAACAGTGTCCCCCCACCAAGAGGCTGAAGACCTATCCCTACAACAGCAGCAAGGAGCAGCGTGTGGAAGAGGACCAGACCCGAGGTAACCAACAGAGAGAGCTGGGGAGTGGCTTGGCCTGGGCTGTGCACCCCAAGAGCACTGGGAAACCATTCTGGCCAAGGGCTTGGCTCTTCCCAGGAGCCTGGTTTGTGAAGGCAAAAGCTTTTGTGGTGTGGTGGTGCTGGTTAGTGCCTTACAAGACACCAGCAAGCCCAACTGCAAGATATGGGCTGGGCCCCACTAGTGGCTCAGCTTGGAGCATGACCATGTGCTGCCATGCTGAGCTCTAATATCTCCATCAGTGAAAGGATGTGGGCTTTGCACCAAAATCTCTCAGCAAAGCTGGAGCAGTTCTAATGTGAGAAACAAGGCACCTGTAAGCAGACTGCATTTAAAGTTTGTAACATAAGGAATGATAATGTCTTTTTTTTTTTCTCTTTTCAAATTTATAAAGAGCAAATGGTTTCTGAAGTTACGAGCAACAGCGGGAAGCTTGAAGGTAAACACTGGCCCTGGCTCTCCTTGGAAGAGGTGTGAGGTGCTGGGGGTGCCAGCAAGGGTCGTGGCTCCCTTTTCAAATACACCATGTAGGAGGGGGACGGGGTGCAGAGTGGAACAGGGTGCTGAGTGGGGCACAGAGTGCTTGGGGGGACGAGGTGCTGAGCAGATCCTCCATGGGAGCCACAACCACATCTGGATGTGGTTCCAAGGGCAGGCCCCATTTGGGTATAGTTCTGAGTGCAGGCTTTATCCAGACATGGCTCCAAGGCGAGGCTCCTGCCTCTGCAGCCTGTGGTGGGTGTAAGGGGGCCCTGCCCTGGGTGCTCCCTGCCCTGGGTGAGTGCAGCTCTCTCTGTCCCACAGAGAGCTGTTTGTCCTGCGGGAGGAGGAACCCGGCCACCTTCCACCCACTGTTCAAGGGGGGCCTGTGCCAGACATGCAGGGTAAGTGATGCTGTGCTGGGGCTGAGCGGGAGCCTGGGGCCAGAGGATGGGGCTGGGACCCAGCCAGTGCTGCTGGGACAGGGCTGGCTGTGCCAGGTGCTGGCCATGCTGTGTGTCCCACGGGGCTGTCCCTCGGCGTGTCCTCACCACCTTGAAACACTGAAGATGTGCATCTCCAAAATCTTGGCATGTACTGAGAATGGAGCAAATCTGTGTTTTCCACTGTCTGAGCATGGTTCCTGATCCTCTGTCCTTCTCTGCCTCCTGGATGTCCTTTTGCTAGGATAGATTCCTGGAGTATTTCTACATGTATGACGAAGATGGGTACCAGTCCTACTGCACTGTCTGCTGCGCAGGCAAGGAGCTGCTGCTCTGCAGCAATTCCAGCTGCTGCAGGTGAGCCTCCTGTCTCTGCTCCTGGGGCTGAGGGCCTGGCATCCTTCCCAGGGAGCTGCAGGAGCAGGGTCCTCCATGAACCTGGGCAGGGGCTGTGCTTCTCCCCAGCTGGCTGCCATGCAGCATATCCCAATACAGCCTACCTACCCTTACTGAGCCAGGAATCACCTGAATAAGCCCTGTGGAGATTGGCAGGAGACTTACCTATGCCTTGGTCACCAGCTTGTGTTAGCAGCTCTAATAACCAGGGTACTGCCTGGAAAAATATCCTGTACAATGGTGGGGGCTCCAGTCTATGGCAAGGGAGACTCCAGGAGAACTTGGGGTGACCCAAAGGGGTTGTTGAGGTGACAAGCACAAGCTGTTGTGGTTTGGCAGGTGCTTCTGTGTGGAGTGTCTGGACGTGCTGGTGGGGAGAGGGACGTCGAGCAGAGTAAAAGAGCAGGAACCCTGGAACTGCTACATGTGCCAGCCCCAGCAGAACCACGGCGTGCTGCAGCGCCGGCAGGACTGGAACACTCGCCTGCAGGACTTCTTCACCAGTGACAAGGGACAGGAATATGTAAGGGCTGGGGCTAGGGAGCCTGATGTGCTGGGATGTGGGGAAGAGGGTTAGTGAGGGCAGGGCAAACGATCTGGACTTCCTCTTCCCTCTGCTTTGGTCTTGTTCACCCACCCCTTTCCAAGGGTGCCCAGCTCTTGGTCCCACAGATGCTCTCCTGAAGGTGGAGGTGCTGCATTCAGAGCCTAATGGGACAATGCAGCACTGTCAGGGCTGGGGCTTCATGGCTGTTTCCATTGCAGGCTGCACCCAAAATCTACCCAACAGTTCCTCCAGCCAAGAGGAGGCCAATTCGAGTGCTCTCGTTGTTCGATGGGGTGACAACAGGTGAGGCAGTAGGGAAGCACTGCTGGGCAGCTCTCAGCACTGGGCATTGGGGATGAATCATTCCATGGGCTCAAACCTGTCTCTAAAAGCATGGTGGGGAAGAGGGGGTGAAAGCAGGAAGATCACCATCAGAAGAGGGATGAGGGCAGGGTCTCCCTTTCCTGCTGCACAAGGCTGTGGAGGAGGGGAGGGATGGAGGGGAGGGCATGTGTTGGCACCTCACAGAGGTGTTCCTGCTGTGCCAAGTGTGATCTGGGGTGGCTGGTTCCCTTGAGAAGCCAGAGCTGTGGGGACACCAGTAACCAGTACTCTGAAGTGCCTGAGGGGCAACTGGTTTGGCTCAGTTCACTCAGCTCTGGCATTCTGCTTTCTGGGAGCAAACCTGCCTGGAGGAATGGGTCAAATTAAAGTTTACTCACCCTGAAGTGTTGTTTGACTACACCCACCTAGGACACCCAGGAGCAGCCACATCGAGCGGCGCTGACGAAGGAGACTTGGAGGCTAAAGAGAGCAGTGCCACCTCAGACCTCTGCCCGCTGGCAGGGTACACAGTGCTGAAGGACTTGGGCATCCAAGTGGAGAAATACATTGCCTCAGAGATCTGTGAGAACCCCATCGCCACGGGCAAAGTGCGGCCTGAGGGCAACATCACCTACGTGCGTGATGTCAGGAACATAACCAAGAGAAATGTGAGCTCTGCTTCTGTGGGACATGGCACCACGGGGGCATGGGTCTCACCCCACCAGCTCTGGGACAAGCTTGTGCCCTGCCCCATCGGGGAGGAGAGACATGTTTCTGTGGCACTCCCTAACGGTCTGGGTTGTCTGTTCTCTGCAGATTGAGGAGTGGGGTCCTTTTGACCTGGTGATCGGTGGAAGCCCCTGCGACGACGTGTCCCTTGTCAATCCAACCAGGAAGGCCCTGTTTGGTAAGGCTGCTTTGCCTCTGCTGGGCTGCATACCTTGGGATGTTCCTGGGCCCTGGAGCCTCCTTACAACCTGGGGAAGTGGTTCAGCCCCAGGCTGTGTTGCTGATGGGCTGTCTCCATACTCATCTTGGTGGGGAGGGCAGCCAGGCCCCCCAGCCCCACACCCCGTGCCCCAGCTGGTCCCAACCTGCTGCTCGGCTTTCTCCTCACAGAAGGAACCGGGAGGCTGTTCTTCGAGTTCTACCACCTGCTCAACTACGCTCGTCCCAAGGCAGGCGAGGAGCGGCCCTTCTTCTGGATGTTTGAGAATGTGGTGGCCATGAGGATCAACGACAAGAGGGACATTTCCCGGTTTCTGGAGGTAGGGATTGCTGACAGCTGTGGGAAAGGCGTTGGAGCAGGTGACATTTGCTGGGCTGTGCAGGGTGTGCCGGGTGTGAGGGTCTGGCTATGGTTTCCTGTGGCCCTGATGCTGGAAAACCCCCTGCCTGGTGCACATGCCAAGGAATCAAGTTTACTCTTGGCTCTGGATCCTCCCCTCTGGCTTTCATCAGGTCAAACCCAAGCACAAGTCCTCTGGGGGAGGGGTTTTGCCAGCCTCGCAGAAAGCATCTGTTCCCAGCAATGCCTGTTATTTCTAGGGAGAGGGGGGGTCAGGGCTGGGAAGGAGTTTTAACTCTGTGGTAGCCAGGATGGGTTGTGGGACCACTGGTGTAAAATCACCATTGAAGGCTGGTCCTGGTCCATAGGAACCAGCACTGAGCACCCTGTGACGGTTGATAGCTGCTGGCCATGGCCACGGCCTGGGAGCTCATGTGGCCACCCAGGCCGTTCTCTGGTGTGAAACAGGGTTTGTGGGAGCTACATCATTTTGAGGATATCCTGACAACTTTTAAGTCCCTGCAGTGCAGTGGGAAGGGCTGTCCATGCAGGAGAGAATCAAGTCAACATTTCCTCTAACTTTAATTTCCCCTCTTTTTGGCTTGCAGTGTAACCCAGTTATGATTAATGCGATCAAGATTTCAGCTGCCCACCGAGCTCGTTACTTCTGGGGCAACCTCCCCGGGATGGACAGGTCAGTCAGCCTGCTGTCCTTGGATCTCTCACTGTAGTTTTGGTTTGTTTTTTAGTGCCCATATATGTGGGTTTTTTTGTCTCCCTGGCTCTAAGCCCAGCTCCTGGTAGCAAGAAGCCACAGCTCCCACATGGGGCAGCTTCCCTGCAGTGATGCGCACACGATAATTAATGCTCTTACTAATAAGCAATGATGAGTCTGCAGGGGAGAAGCGTAGCAGCATCCCCTGCCCTGGCCCTGAAGGTTTTGGAGGGAGGAGTGATAGGGTTGCTCAGGGTGCTGTGGTGGGTCTGGCTGGGGGTGCACATGTGGATTGCCTTTAGGGTAGGGCCCAGGCTGATGTGGGGGTTCTGTATGGCAGCCCTGTGCCCCCTCAGTGCAGTGGTTGTGGGTTTATGGAGGGGAACTGAGTGGCTGCTGTGGCTGTGGTGGGTGGTGTGGGGGAGCTCACACCACAGCCAGCAGTTGCTCTGGCAAAGCATGAGTGCACCCTGCTCAACACTGCAACTGCTGGTTGCATCCCTAGCATCCTGAATTCATGACAAAACACAACAGAAATACTGGGAGTAGATAAATCCAATTACAAGCAGTCCATTACACCACATATGTGTGACAAAACTTGAAGGTTTTGCACCGCTTCTAGCCAGTAAACACAAGAAAAGGGATAAAATACTTGTTTGCTTATTTTTAAATTGCCAGTATTTGTTGGAGTTAACACTGTGCTGAAGGCATTTGAAAGTAAAATAACAATTCCAAGCCTTTGTCATGTGAAATGGCTGTTGGACTTTCATCTGTCTGATTGTAAGGGAAGTGCCCAGCCCATGACTCAGAGCGACTCAGTCCCATCTCCACGGAGTAGCCCTGGGGCAATGCTTGCAGAGGTGTTGCTGAGCAGAGGCAGGTGGGATGTGGATGCCCAGGCACAGGAGCCTTGACAGGAAATCCTACAGGTGCAGGGCACTGGGGATGGTGGGAAGCCACAGCCTGGCCCCATCCAGAACTGCTCAGGTCGCGTGGGGCTGGAGAGCTGAATCCCCACCCATAGGAGACTCCTGATGTCTTTGGGTGGCGTGGGAGTGGTGCTGCCCAGGGAAAGGAATTCCTGCTCCTGCTCTGCCTCACCTGCCCTCTCCTGCCTCTGCTCCACAGGATCTTTGGCTTCCCCCTCCCCTACACGGATGTCTCCAACATCAGCCGCGGGACTCGCCAGAAGCTGCTGGGGGGATCGTGGAGTGTCCCTGTCATCCGGCACCTCTTCTCCCCACTCAAGGATTACTTTGCCTGTGAATAGCAAACGGAGCGTCCCTCGTCTCTCTGGTAAAGACGCACAGCACCGCCGCTGTGGCGGGAGAGGGACGGGCACGGCCACCGGAGCGCCAGGGCCCCGTCCCTCCCCGGCCACGCGCGGCGGGATGGCAGCCTGGCCCCGCCGGGAGAGCCGAGGAATGTCTGTAACCAAAGAACCTGGCAGGGCAACTTCTTTAAAGGGACTAACAGTGATACGTAGGAAATGATGGACAAGCTTTAATTACCCAGCACACGAAGCTCTATGCATCACTGATGAGATGGGAGTCTCATCCTCCAGAGCATTAACTATTCCTGTTTAGCCTGGAGCTGGGAAGTCACCACTTGCTGAGCAGCCAGTGTGCGGGCAGCTGCTGGGGAGCTGCAGGCAAACCTGAACTACAGTGAATTGGTGCTTTTCCTAAACAAACAAAACCTCTTGAAGTAACTGCCAAAAACCCCCAAACCGTAGCAGCAGGTGTAAGGGACCCTGCTCAGGTTACACACTGAACACAGGATCATGCAGAAACCAAATCTTTTTTGTTTTTATTCTTTTTGATAAAGTTTAATTTTCTTGTTTTAATGTCTATTGCTGCTTTAAGGCATTACATAAGAATGTGGAGATTCCTAGACCTGAATGTAGCTGAAACTGAACTGTGAGGTGATAGAATTACTTTTCTAGCTAGAACTAAAGAAATATTGTTTTATATGTTTGGTTGTAGTTTACAAATATTCACTACTTCCTTTTTAAAGCATCTAAAACCTCTCCTTACATTTTAAAATCCTGCTGAATGGTTTGAAAGCTTACACAGTAACTGGAGCAGGGAGGATTTGGGCTCCAGGGTCTGTAAAGGAAAATATTCTTGGAGCATCCATTTCCCCAATGAATGTGGTATGTCAGCAGGAAGGACAGTGTAATGGTCAATGGCACCCTCAAATCTCAGCACCCCAAATGTCATGTAGGATGTCATGAACCCAAGCAGTGGTGACAGGGCATTCCTTCCAGGGAAAATTCCACCCAGCCTTTGTGGAGTGCAGGGACCAGGAGTGCAGCACTGCTCTTGCCTGTGCCCATCTCATGCTGTGCACAGGGAATGGGACAGTGAGGCAGGAAAGCACTGCCACTGCTGGGGGGTCTTGGGGCTGTACCTCTCCTTCCCTGTGCTCCCATCTCCCTGTGCATCCCTGTGCACAGAGATGGGATTGTGTGCCTGGCCCCAGCCTGGCAGCACCCTGGGGGCTCCTGGGGCTGTACCCCAAAACTGGCAGCTCCTGTGGCTGCCACTGTGCTCACTTTTGATTGCCTTCTTCTACTCCCCAGCTTTGCCAGAGTGATTATCATGCTTTCCATGAAGTTCTGGGCACGCTGAGCCTGTGGCCAGCAGGAAGGTGCAGGTGCCAAAACCTTCCACCAGGTTTTCTGTAGCCACCAGGCTACTGTTCCAGCAGGCATCTCTGGGGATTCTGAATTCCAATGCACATTTCAATGCACTGAAACGATTCCCCCCTTGGTCCCTCTGTCCTCCCCTACCTCTGCTGTCACCTGGCTCTGGAAGAGCCCTTGAGTGCCATCTCAAAATTATTCAGGTTCAAACCATGAGCCAACCCTCCACCCAATCAATGCCAGGCTGCCTTGCTCTCTTGCAAGGTGCTGCACAGCATCACTGGGAAGAACTTTTCTCCCAGCTTCTTCTACCTCGCTGGCACCCCTGTCCTTGTGGTGGAGGACAGCAGCCTCCCATTTTCCACCCTTGCGTGCAGTTTTCCATTCCAGCTCTGAGAACCATCTTCTCTTGGTCTCCAGTCCAAGGCTGTGCTTGGGAATGGACAGCAAGGGAACCCTAGGTAGTTTAAAATATTTTTTCCCCTGTTTTAAGCTGGAGGTTACTCTTTAGAGAGAACTCTATGGGGGGTTCATTCTTGGTGACTTGTTCAAGCCACATGCCTTAATTAAGAAAACTCTGAGGAAAGCCAAGCAGGCTGGTCCAAGTCACTGCTGGCACATCCAATGCTTGACAAGTGCTTGGGGACAAGTAGCACCCTCTTGCCACCAGTCCCTGGACTGGGAAGATGGCAGGGTGGGTTCTGTGCATGCTGGAGGTGTTTGGGAAGCCTTGGCATTGCCAGCACTGCACCAGCTGCTTTTGGACTCCTCGCCAATCTGTGATCCTTATGTCCAGCTGGACCCCAGCCACAACACTAATTCCTCATCCCAGGTCCTTGCAGTCCCAGTTTGGAGCCCAGTGTGGGGCCTGAGGGCAAGCAACCACCCAGTGCAGGGGCTCAGGGTGACAGCCCTCCTCTGCTCTGGTGGGCTTGATTTTTCCACACTGGGCCAACACGTGCCCTCCACTCCATGGCATCCCTGATCTTATGTACTCCAGATCTCACATCCTTTCCTATCTGATCAAAAGGAAAACAAATAGATGAGGGAAAAAAAGGACTTGGGGAAAGTAAACAAAGATAAAAGAGGAATGAGAATTGTCTTGGCATTAAGCTCTCTTGATGAGAATTGTAGTAGACAAGTCTTCCTTGAAATGTTTTTCCCTGTAAGAGCTGCCTTTTATTTTGAATTTATGAAATGTTAAGGGAGGGGCATCTCAGAAATTCCTTTTTAAGACTTTTTTTAAAGGTTTCTAACTCTCCCTGGTGCTATTTTTTTAGATTAAGGATTTCTAATGTTGAACATGTTGCGGGTTTTTATACAATCTTTTAAAAATGAGAGAAATGTATCATTTTTAACACATTTCACAGTTTTTGTATCCTGGAGTGTGGAAACTCGCAACTCTGCCTTGTCCACATGATTTCACTGGTTTCCATGTGGGAAAAAAAATGTCAACAGTTTACCATTTATGATGTCTGATTAAAAAATGAGTATTTCTGTACGGCTGGACAGTCTTATTGGGTGAATAAACGGGGTTCACAGTGGGAGGAGGGGCACAGCCAAGGACCCGAGCTGCCCTTCTCCTGCCCCTGAGGTGACACCAAGGTGGCTGGTGCTGGTGTGCCAGGAGAGCTGGAGCCGTGCCGGGGATTGGGGTCTGGCTGTGCCGGGGTTCGGGGCCAGGCTCTGCCAGGGGTTGGGGTCCGGTTGCGCTGAGGGTTCAGGGTAGGGTTGTGCTGGGGGTTTGGGGCTGGGCTGTGCCATGGGTTGGGGTCCAGTTGTGCTGTGGGTTGGGGTCTGGTTGTGCTGTGGGTTGGTTCTGGTTGTGCTGGGGTTCAGGGCCAGGCCGTGTCAGGGGTTTGGGGCTGGGCTGTGCTGGGGTTCGGGGCCGGGCTGTGCTGGGGTTTGGTTCCGGTCGTGCCGGGGTTGGGGCCGGGCTGTGCCGGGGTTCGGGGCCGGGCTGTGCCGGGGTTCGGGGCCGGGGTTAGGCCGGGCTGTGCCGGGGTTCGGGGCCGGGGTTCGGGCCGGGCTGTGCCGGGGTTCAGGGCCGGGGTTAGGCCGGGCTGTGCCTGGGTTCGGGGCCGGGGTTGGGGCCGGGCTGTGCCGGGTTCGGGGTCCGCCCGCGGCCCCCTCGCACCCTCGTGCCCGAGCCTGGCGCGGCCCCTCGGGCACGCGGGACCCGCGGTGTGGGCGGGGCCGGCGGATCAGCCAATGGCAGGCGAGCCCTCGGGCGGAGTGGGCGTGGCGTCTCCATAGCGACGCAGCGCTCGCCCCGCCCCCTGACAACGGCTGCCCTCCCCGTGCCGGCGCGCGGCGCTCCCCGCGCGGGCCGTGACGTGCGCGTGACGCAGGCGCGCAGCGAGCGCGTGACGCGGTCCCGGTCGGCGCGGGCGGGGCCGGTTTGAACGCGGGGCCGACGGGGCGAGCGCGGCGCAGGTACCGGGCCGGGGCCGCGCCGGGGCCGCCGGCCGGCGGCGGGGAGGGCCCCGGGCTCGGGGAGCGGCCCGGCGGGGCGCCGCCGCCGTGGGGGCACTGGCGTGTGAGGCCTGCAGGGCCGGGCCGCGCCCCTCGGCGGGCGGAGGTGCGGCGGGGACCGGGGGTGGCGGGAGCGGCGGGGAGGTACCGGCCGGTGAGGAGCAGGAGCGGGGAGAGCGCGGGCCGTGCCCCGCTCGCAGCGCGGGCGGCCCTGCCCGGCGGCAGCTGCACCGGCGGCTCCGCTTTGTGCCGGCGGGGCTGGGCGGGGGCCGGGCGCTCGGTATTGATCCCCGGGGAGATACCGGGAGGGCTTCAGCCGGGGGCGCGGGGCAGAGCGGTGAGTGACTTGCCGCAGCCGGGATTCCTCTCGGCGGTTCCCACGTGAGCGCCTCGGTGCTGGTTTTCGGTGGGAATTCCCGCAGCCGAGCCCTTTGCAGGGTGGTGCGGGAGGGTCCTCCCAGCTGCCGGCAGCCCGCGGCTGCGTCGCGATTCCTTCGCCGATGGCTCGGGAAGGCTCGAAAGGAAGCGGCTCCACCGCAGCCCAGCGTCGGTGTCGCTCAAACCTCTGGTTCTGTGTTTCAGAAAATGGCAGTGAATGTGTATTCTACTTCAGTGACCAGCGATAACTTGAGCCGACATGACATGCTGGCGTGGATCAATGAGTCTCTGCAGCTGACGCTGACCAAGATTGAACAGCTGTGCTCAGGTACGGGGGTTCTCCCCGAGGGCAGTTCCACGTGGGATGCGCACCCTGGTTCTGTAGAGGTGCAGCTGCACCCTCTGTGCTGCCCTGCTGCAGCTGTGCTCCTGGCTGAGTTCCTGGTGTGAACAGATTCGTGGTCAGTGTTATGATCCATTTATGGTTGGAGTGTTATTGAAGTGGTTGTTAATAATGTCAGTGTAATGAAAAGGCACGTTCTCATGACTTAGTACAGCATAGATGCTATAAGGAATGGATGTTAATGTGAAAAAAAGACTCTGAGGAAGAGGGTGTTTTCCCATGAGCAATTAAGCATTTAGTCTTTATGGGTAGAGTAAGTCTTACAAGTGTAACTGGCAAAAACAATTGTGATTTGTTCTGGAAGAGTACTGGAGTGTGAGGAAGACAGAGCAGCGACACGTGGGGTCATGTGCAGGACTTTAAAACTCCTCTTGGTCCTAGACCACATCTAGTCTGTGTCAGCCCAGCTTACCTTGCTTGAACCAACTTCAGC